GTTATGCCAACCTTGACTCTAATTGCTTGTCACTGGCCTTGTCTTGGTGTTGTTGCCCACCAGGTCGCAACACCTTAGAGGACATAGCAGGAGAGTTCAAAAGCCAAGAAGAAATCATATCGCTGTTGAGTACTTACACCGAGACATAAACTCTCGGAACCGACTCCCAGAAGAAGTTGTGTCTGGAACCTCAACTGATTCGTTCAAGAAGGGTTTGGACAACCACGGAAATTTACTAGAAGACGATTAACATGGGCTTCAAGCCTTCGATCCTCAACCAATAAATCTGAAATAAAAGTTTTTGGGGAAAGTACTGCATTTCTCCCAAAATGCCTCGGAATTTTTCATTTAGGTCTATAGTCTAATTATACCACATCCCAGCTGGCAGTAGCTTTCAGTCTAACTACAGAAACGTTAAGACAAAATCATCGGCTCTACTGCAGAATTTGGGATACAGAGCCCCAAAGTTAGGACACTTTCTTCAGTGCGCCTGCAGAAAATGGTAGCACATATGCAATATTGAAGTGTATAGACCTAGTGAATTTCATGGTAGCTAGTAATTGCCTGGACAATTGTTAGTTTTTCTAATAATATTTCGTTCCTTATACAGATTAAGATAATAAAGATGGTAGCCTCTTGTTGCTTATGTTAGTCCTTGCAATATATGTCTCTGCAGAGATCCAGTTTCTCTTTAATAGCGTTCACCGATGGAGCTGTTACTACCGAATCATGTTAGGAGTTCCAGTCGTTGACCACTCTGTGAGGGAATCTAAATTCCACACGTATTTTGTTCGACCTCGGTTTGAGCACCTTTTTTGGTGACCACGTGAATTTGTCCTAGAGGGAGAGAAAAGGTTTGAAAGATCAATCCCTAAATCACCCTTTAATATACGGTAAGCCAAAATTAAGTCGCCTCTCTTTCTTCGGTATGATGATGGGAAGAGATTTAAATGCTACATCCTATTATAAGGATAGTGTGAGATCCCATTAGTTTAGTTCCTACCCTCTGTACCCTTTCCAGGATATGTGCCTCCTTCTTGAAACATGGATTCACCGCTTGTATGCAGTATTCTAGGTGAGGTCTGACATAGAGTACTTGGGACATACCCTCGTCTGATCGTTTGAAACCCCATCGAAGTGCCCACAGCATTCGAAAAGCCTTAGCTGTGGTTCCATTACAATTTGTCGTTGTTTTTAAGTCGTAAATTACAATAATTCCATTTGCCCCCTAACATCTGGTAGTTCTATCCCCCAGGGATTACGACATGTAAGACCTCTGACCCATATGCATTTCCCCGTTTTTCTTGGAATTAATTTGCAGACTCCAGAGGTTAGCCTATTCATCTTATTTATCTAGATCGTTTTGTAATACCAACCTATCAACATCATTATTTATGGTTTTCCATATCTCAGTATCGTCTGCAAATAATAAGGAAGATGAGGTAAAAAATTTCGGTAGCTCATTTACGCAAAATAGGAATAACAGGGGGCTAAGTACAGCTCCCTGAGGAACTCCACTTAGTACTGCCTTCCATCCTGACAGTACATCATTGACCCTTACCTTCTACCTTCTGTCTGTTAGGTAGTACCCAAACCACTCACATAGGCGTTGATCCAATCCAAAACCTTTAGTAAGGAGACCTAAATGGGATACTTTATCGAATGCTTTACTAAGATCAATAAAGACAGCGTCCAATAAAAGGTTCTTATCCCAGGCTTCAATCCAGCCTTCCCTAGCTGACAATAAGTTTGTCAGGTAGGATCGTCCTGGACGGAATCCATGGTGTTTTACTGCCAGTAAGCCATGTTTCTCCGTATGAGCTACGAGCTAATCCCTGATTATTCTTTATAATACCTTTGCTAAAATGCAGGTCAGACTTGCAGGCCGGTAGTTAGATACTAACTGCCTGTTTTCCTTTTTGAAGATGGGGTTTATAAAAGCATCTTCCCAGTCCCTGGGTAGCCTAACCTGGGTCAGAGACATTCGGAAAATCACCGTAAGTGGAATGTTTATTATATCCACCAAGGAGATTAGCAGTCTAGGGTGAAGTCCGTCAGGTCCAGGTGATTTACCTGACTTCATTTTAGAAAGTAGTTTGAGAACCACTGCATCCTCTACGACAATTCAGGGCATTATATCGGCTGTGGGAGCGACCACGCTGTACCCCTGGGTGGTAATATTAGACAAGTCGTCACAAAAGTATTCCTAGATGTTTTCAGCTCTTGTTCTGTTTGATTCGGCCGCCTCCCCAGTACTGGGTATGGGTGATTGTATATCACTGTTAGTTTTAGCCCTACATTTGATATACGAGTAAAGTCTTATTGTATAATGTACACAGTGCAGAAGTAACTGTCTCTCATACTGTATAAGACTTTTGTCAATCATTTACTTACAAAGGTTTCTAATTTTGCGGTAGTCCATCCCTCTCTGTCACTATAAACAGTTCCCTTAAGTTCTTTCGCTTTCCTAATAACCTTATTTCATCACTAATCCAAGGTGGTTTACGCAATGGTTTTTGAGGCGTAGACCGAGGTATAAAAGGTGCAGTATGCAGTCCAGTGTATTCCTAAGTCCCACACCAGCTTTCTCGATTTGTATCAATTGACCATTCAGCTAGGGTTGCTGCATTTTGGATTGCAGGCGTATCCCCTTTCCGAATGTTTACAGCAACTGTTGACCTATTTATGAGAGTGTGAATCTTAAACGTAAAAGTGATAACTACATGGTCACAACTGCGTAGCGGCGGAAGGCACCTAATGTCGCTGACCACCTTCCTTCTGGTTTGTTAGCGCTAAGTATAGAGTAAGCAGATCGTGTTCATGATAGCATCGTGTTGATGCATGTATATGCTGCACAAGTGCACATTCAATCATTGTCAGTGTAAGTTCCCTGTTGAAAAAGGTATACTAACTAATGGATGTTAATTCATCTCAGTTAATGTGGGGCATTAAATTCGCCTACTTCTAGACACCAATTTCCACTACATCACGCCCTTGAGTGATTTAGTATGAAATCATCAGCTTGGCTGGCAGGACTTATATATTGGCTTGTATTTTGTCATAATTCTATTGTCACAGTTTTTTCCAGAATTTCTTGTATACCTAATTAAGTTCTAATTAAACCTTTTGCACATAGAACTACTCAGTTTTACAATGTTACGAGAATAATGCTACTAAAATCTAAGTTAATGCTCTTTTGTATGTTAGGAGTGGAAAGTATACTAGACTGGCATGATTATTCCAAACCGAGTAGCACTCTGCTTGGTTTTTCCTCACTACTCGCATTAGTTCAGCGTCTACTAGTATCTTTTTCAGCATCACTTCAGCACAATAAACATTATTTCAACACATAACCTCAAGAGAAATATAATAAAACTATAGTAGTGCAAGAAAATTTTTATGAAAGTTGGTGGTGTCTGGAATTCAAGGCATGAAAGGATGTATGCGTCAGTGCAACCTAGGTTACAAAACAGCTGTTTTGTACCTTCTCATAGAAATTTATCATACACTAAATTTAGCTAGGCAGTGTTCATCTCTACGTGTAATTACAGTCTGTACTTAGTAATTTTATGAACTAACACTATACCTAAATACATCGATCCAAGTGAAATCTATCTAAGGTTGCTTGTTGAAGAAGGTAGTTCTAAACACCCAGTGATCATTTTGTATGGCTCATAAGTATACAGGTATGGTTATTTGTTTTTCGACTTCCTGTAAATTCGTTTAAGATTTATTAATTAACACTAATCTTAGTTTCACAATCTATCCCTCATTGAGTGAGTTGTTTAAAAGTTCCTACTGTTTTTCGCGTACTTCTACTAATCATTAGGTAAAAGTCTCGCATTACCTGTCCATCCTACTTTAAGGCTATGAGACCTGGCCATTGAGAGTGGAAGACATGAAAAGATTAGCTGACTTTGATCATAGGTGCCTGCGTTCTATCTCCCGTGTGAAGTGGTATAATAAGGTGAGCTATATTGAGGTTAGGCGTCGGTTGAGTGCTAGGTAAGTAGGGGAAATCGATCGACGAGGTTGTGAAGTTACAAAGACTGAGATGGTTAGGACATGTGTTACGTATGCCTAGCGATTCGTCACCTTCCTCGACGGCTAATGTTAGCTGACATAGGGTCAGGCTGGAAAAGAGCTAGCGGCGGTCAAACCAAAACATGGCACCAGTCAATGAAATCTACAACAGTTAATCTAAGCCACGTAGGAAGGTGTAGACCTTCTGGTTGGGGTCCTCGGGACGGTGAAAATCAATGGTTGGAAACAATTGGTGACATGGCTCAAAGTGATCGTTTTCAATGGTTGGCGAAGATGCATCGACTCCTTGTGACTTATGATTTCGAATGAAACTGTTTTGTCCTTCGTCATTACAATTCCTTTGTCTCACACCTGTGTTTACTGTCTCTGTTATACATTTCTTCAACTTTCTTCTCTTGCTTTGTGTGCTACAAGGGGGGAGTGTGGTGACCTGAACTGGAAAGTTCTATGTCGAAAACAGACAGACAGATTACACCTAAACGCTAATCATCGTTTGTTGCATTCATTGATTAATCAATGATAAATAGCACACTGTGGTTGTTGTACTATATGAGTTAGTCTGTTTTCTTCTTCACACGAATAGGTCGTTATTAACTCACGCGTTTAAAATTTGTTTGATTAAAAAAAAGATTAGAGTGATATCTTGTTGTTTGCGTAGTTAACTATTTGAACATTTAGTTCAGGACATTATTCATTCACGTGTTGCATTCAATTGTCTCTCTTATAACATCTTATAACAGAAATATGCTCATGGTATATCTTTATGTAAAATAATTGTCTGTGTTTTCTTTGGTAGTACAGTGAAATTTCCTAATGAATAAAGCTGTTATTATTATTTATTTATTTTTGTGCAATATTTCTTTTGAAAAAAATTGGTAGCTCCTATACCTCACAGTTTGGGTGTGCGTGTGTGGAATGTATCATAATAATAAAAGCTGGTGAGACTATTGATTCGTATGGATTACATATTGCCTACACCAACAACAAGTTCGTCTTCTTCCGGTCTGCCTAGCTCGATTATTTTCCATGGAAACTCAAATCCTGAAGGGTAAGCTTATTCAGTCAGTTAATTTACACCTTTACTGAAATCACCTGTGGACTTAAGATTGCCTCTTTTTTTGATACTTGAAATACACATTTGTTGTTGTTTTGGTAAATTTAGATAATCACTACTTGTGACCGTTCTCAGTAGGCTTAGGGATTAATAATATATTTATATAAACGAAAACTTGGTACAGTGTGTTGGGTACCAAGATATGTGTGTCACAAAACAATACAGTGGCATTAAAATAATATGTCTGTTGGTACCGAGATATAACTGACTGAGGTGATAACGTAAAACTTTGTTACAAGCTCATCAGTCCAATTTTCCACACTTAAGAATAGCACACAATAAAAGTAGAGAAAATTAAATGAAAATGTATGAGTAGTAAAAAGAGTAGTGGAAAGTTTCAAAATATGCATGTTGACGAACGATGAATACATCCACACCATTGTATATGGTTGTCGGCCATTTGTAAAACAAGCCTCTCCCGTCATATGTAACACACTCTTAGAACCTCAGTAAGCAGTCCACCCTTATGGCTTAAACCGATAACCAATGATTACATGAAGTGATATCATGTTTTGTTCTGACCACCCAACCTAATCTTATTTCCTCTCCGAGGAGGAACACAGTGGTTCAGTATATAGATGTCCTGTTAACCTTGGTCAGTGAACATCCACAACCTCATCAGCTAACATTCCCTTCTTATCTAATACTCATGTTTACTCATAGTGTCGCGTTATCTAATGTGCACAATTAACCAAAGGAATATAATTCAAAAAGTCTCTAGTATTTTCACTTCTACTTTCAGTGACTATGTCTTGCAACAGTAAATCAGCAGCAGCACCAGGATAGGAAACTGTCGCGCTGCAGACATACTGTTTAATCGATCACGACACATACTGTCAACGCTAACGATGCATTCAATTTACAAATGCCTAATGAACCTTTTATACTAGCCATATTGACTACGTCAGCAACCAGTTCACTAGAGCTCATGTGACTTTCTTCATTACTGAAAGGTCTGCTGTTCAGATTCTTCACACACACGTATTAATTGTCTGTAAGATAAGTTACTGGTCATAAGAAAAATAAATAGGGTATTTGAAACTTATAATTATATCTGTGCTTTATCAAGCTTTAATTGTGAAAAATATTTAGTAGAGGAATCTGTGGTGCTTTACACACGTGTTTAGTATTTTTCCAGTGCTCTATGCATTATCACTCACTGATTTTCGCTTCTGAGATTCTTGTTATATTCATAAAAAAGATGCATTCCTTTTTGTAATTTTCAATAGACTTTTTAACTGTTTGGTATTTCAGGCCGTCATCGTCGCTCATCTCTGCACTTCTCCTTAACATCGCTAATGAGGCTGCTACTCGTCAGTTACGCACTGTCTTTATTCGCAAAGAAGCAATTTTGAAGTGTGATTTCGTTCATATACATGGATGTAGTAGACTAGACACTTCGAATTGGGACGATATTCATTTTGTGTGAGTTTATATATATATATATATATATACTTACTTTACTTCGGCTATCTCCTACGGGAGGATGAGCCGGCTTCACGAACATCTCGAATCACCGCTGCCCAGGTGCGGTGGTCTGATGCAAGGTTTTGGGACAGGGTTATCCAATTCTTATTCCACAGACGGAGTCCGTAGACGGTTTGTAGCCCCTGGCACTCCATATCGGCCTTGACTGTACCAAGCCATGTTTTCAGCTGTCCACCCCTGCGACATCGCCAAGATGGAAATGGCGAGGGATTTAGAACTGATTTGATTTGACCAGATCGTCATCTGGTCGGCGCAGAACATGGCCAAACCACCGAAGGCGACGTTGTTGGACCAGTACTGGAATTTGGTTGATGTTGTAGAGAGTTCATGAAGTTTCATGGGAATTAGGTACGAGTGATGTCCCCAGCATCCACTATCCATTGGCAGCCGGTGACCGGAGTCCGGGTCAGACATCCAGGGCATCCAATAAGCCCTTTTTCCATACGTCTTCCGGTGAGCTTCATACGCCAGTCGTTGGAGGTTTGGAATCAGGGTTTAGCCATCTCCCCTAGACTGTCATCCAATGGACAGTCAACCCGGTAAAGAGCGCCGGGCATCCGCTTTTGCCCTCTCACTTCGGTGAAAAACACCTCCGCCACGTGAAGGCAGTGAGTACGACTTCCTCCGGAGAGGCTATGTAAGACGTATATATATATATATATATATATATATATATATATATAATTAACTTCGTCGACCAAAAGTCTGTGACGTAATGCTGTAGATAAAATCTTGGAATATAAAGAGATACTTATTTGTTTTTTTTCATTTGATTAGTAGTATTTGTATTTTGTATTAAATGTAAAGGCGTAAAAATGTTGGTCATTTTAATCCATAATAATTGATGTTCATAAGTAATGCGTCTTAAAACTTCGACTGGAACAGGCTGAATTCAGGAGGAACAAGTTACGCATCGATAAAATCACAACACCACGTATCATTATTGAACAGAGCTTGGAATGACAGTCATTCAGCACTCCATCTCAACTTCATCGATTTTGAAAATGCCTTCGACAGACAGCGTTGATCGAGTAGTGATTCGGCAACTACTTCGCTACTAAGGAGTGCTACCAACAATTATAAACATCATTCAACAGTTTTACGGCAGTGCTACATGCTAAGTGGCTCAAAATGGGAAACTCACGGAATCCTTCGAAGAGGTGAAGACGGGAGTAAGACAAGCTGGCTCCCTTCTATCTCGATTGATTTTCCTGATTGCAGTAGATTGGATAATGCGACATAAATGGACTGACACAAAAAAACTTGGAGGATCTGGACTTTGCGGATGATATGTATTTGATTTCTCACAAACTGGAAGGTATGCAAATGAAAAGCAACAAGTTGTCAGAAGAAGCATGAAAGATTGAACTACAAGTGAATATAGAGAAAACAGAGGTGATGAAGACTCCTGGCCAACAGCAACAACAACAAAGAACAATCAACCAGGATAATGTCTATCTTTTTTTCGACATAGAACTTTGCAGCAATGTCCAGGTGTTCAAGTCGCCACACTCCGTGTAGCACACGAAGCAAGAGAAGAAAGTAGAAGATTTGCATAATAGAAACAGTAAACAGAGGTGTGAGACAAAGGAATAGTAGTAAGAAAGAATAATATAGTTTTATTGGATAATAGGAGAAATTTGAAAGAAGCATCGTTTCAACTACAGGTGGGCGGAACTGACAAGGATATCAAGGCGAGGATCGAGAAGACAAGGCAAGCTTTCATTACGCTCAAGTCTGTGTGGAGGTCAACAATACTTAACATGAATATAATAAGATCCGGATTTCCAACTCCAATGTGAAGTCAGTGCTACTTTACGGATTAGAGATTCGTGATGATAAACAAAGTGTTCGTTCAAATTGTATGATAACATGTGTTATTAAACGTTGGGAGTTGTACGCAGCTGACGAAGAACCGACCAAATAAAATGTAGCCAGAATGTTTGTTCTCTCTCTGTTAAATATTGTCTCTCGCCTACTTGCACTATAGAATGTAAACTCCTGTTGAATGAGTTTATTAAGTCGAGTTAATGTATAACACTACTGAACTGCATGCTGATAGTTGATAGGTTGTAATAAAATGGCCAATGTTCTTTTCGCAATAAGACACGATGATGCAATTCAGATGGCACATATGTATACATAGAGACATAGACAAATAATGAAAATTGTCCAATGCAATAGAATTCCATGTGACACAAAGGTAAGGATCGAATAAATCAAACATGGCAATGTGATGCAGATTAAGATGACTTGTGAATGCATAAATCCTACTACAATCAATCGTGAGACAAACTGTGCGCAGTCTGTAGCCATAGGTCTCGTTTTTCAACTGGAATATAGTCAGGCATAATCTACTTTCATTAATCATGACTGCATTTATAGTCCATGGGATCCAACGGTGCCACCACGTTTTAGTCTGAACACCTTTTACTTCTGGTCAATGTGAAAATAACTCCGTCAGATTAGTAATAGTAGTAAGCTGGCAGTAAACGGTGGATTGTCATTTACGAAGAGTTATTATTGCATTTTCTTCAGACTGTCCTCCAGTTGGAAAGTTATTCCATTTTTGAACACACACTTTGCTCCATGGATTAATTCTTGACAACTTGAAATTATTTGGTCATAAATATTGTGAATAACCACTTCAAATTTCTTTGATTAACTCTATAGCTACCTACCATCTGAAGATGCATTGATTCGTTGGTTATCGAGCGTTCATATGCAGCAAAGATTTGCTGATCTTATTATTGTTGAAGCATTGGATCAATTAGTAAAAAATGTAAGAGTCTCATGGTATGAAAAATTTAATGGTACTCTTTTAATCTTTTTTTTGTCAGACCTTCCTGTTTGTTGATTAGACTGTCCAAAGAAATAGTAGTTATTACCCATGTGTTTTTCAACGTTTTATCTCTAGTCCAAACTATGGAATATCGTTGAGTTTCAGTTAAAGCCGAGTTTTATTGGTTCAATGTGTCTCATTTTCTTAATGTTTGCATATTTTGTTTCTAAGTTTACCTAATTGATTTTTGTCGAATTTCGAAAGCATGTCTAGTCTTTTCAAGAGTTGATTTGTAAGGATTTGATTTGCTCTTCGAATTCGACCACGGATTGATATCAGTTTTAGAGAACCATTGAAAACCACTAGGGGGAGGACTGCCAGACTACTGTTTCATCCTAGATTTTGAGAATCATCGGCAGCACGCACACACTGGGGTTCTAACCCAGGACTTTCCGGTTACATTCAATCGTTCAATCACTGAGACCCGATTCAGTGGCCAGCCCATAAATTCTAACTTCTACCAATGTATAGTCTGTGTTGTATTACTGACTAGCTAAAAAAGGGTCAGCTGTTGGGATGGCTAATGAAGGAACTTCGATTTTGAGTTTGGAATTTTTGTTAAACGTACACATATATGACGAGGGAGAGGGAATGAACAAAACCATTAACACTGTTTCTAATCTTCATCAGAGAAATTCATCAGTTCCGTTAAAATATTTATATTTAAGATCAGGAGGCTGATTTAATAAATATATTCTGTTCTACTGTCTGGTGACTGAGAAGCCAATTAAAATGCCTCTTGAAATATCCTCCCAAGAATCCAGCGATTTGCTATGAAAGTAGGTGAATAACTTATGATAGATTTGTTTCAGGATTTCATCATGAGCTGACATTAGTTAGAGAATCATTGGAAAACCTTGGAGTACTGGACAGCCGTTTCGTCCTAGTTAGGGACTCTTCAGCAGTACGCACCCACCGGGATTCAAACTTATGATAGAGCTTAATTCTCGGGTCCTTTTTCATCTATACATCGCACAGGTGGTTACATTTATGGGAAATCATTCTTACTCACTGCATTCCGAGATATCATTCTTCAAGATACGCTACTATCTGGTTTCAATGCTGGCTGTTTCAGTAATTTTTACCTTTGACTATGCACAAAACTAGTCAGTTTTTCTATTTCTTAGCTTTTGGAGATAAAAGGGAGTTTTAATGGTTTATTGATGAAGATGATGATGATGATGATGAAGATGACAGAATATTTTAAGATTGATCACATTTCAGTGTCTTTATTTGTGTTATTTTTTCTATGTTCACCACTACCATTATTTTGCCAGTGGTTCATTTACTGCCTACTGTTAGCTTAGTTAAATACTTACGATCATGCATAGTTGAATTTTGAGTACTATCCTTAGTGTGAAGTGTGTGTTATCATTTTTATTTATTAAAACATGAATTTGGTACATTACGTGCACTAATAAATACACCACACAAAATCTCATAGCTTTTGTGAAGACTGAGATACTGCCTGGCTGCCCAGACCACGAAGCAGATGGTTGTCATTAGGTACCACACCCCGAGCCTTCGACTTGATGCCTTCGTGTGATTCCAAAGGTAGTGGGCAAGCGTCAAGAACTGCGTTCCCATGGTTTTACGTGTCGAAAACAGGTTGATATGCTATTCGATGTTTTCGAATTCCTCAAGCCCAAGTACACACAGCATAGGTTTGGGTTTTGAATCAAGGTTTTCCTAGCCCCTTCCTCCACTTAAACCAGGATGTCCACCAGTCTGGTTGTAAGCACCAAATGTTCAAATTCACCCTTTCACCTTTTTCTGAGGAACACCCGTAGTATGTTATTGCAGTTAACAGAACTTCCCTGGTGTTGGCTAGGAATGTATGGCCACATGAGAGCAGTTTTAAAGGAATATCACAGTTTACCTGTCCTCATCAGTACCAGGTCGTTTGTGGGAGTGTGAAGTAGAACCTAATTCGTTTTCTTGTTGCAAAACAATGGCGTGTTTATCGGTAGACCATTGTCTACTTCACTTACTCAATAGTAGACGAAGTGATGATTTTATTGGTTACTGGATTTCATCATGAGCTGGCATTGGTTAGAGAAACATTCGAAAACCTGTAGGGAGTACTGGACAGCTGTTTCCTCCACCTAGTTCTGGACTCTTCAGCAGTACACACTGCGGGGTTTCAACCCAAAACCTTATGGTTAACAAGGCGAGCTATCTCGTAAATCATTAGGTCACTGGAACCCGATCCAATGGCCCATGAATCCAAACTACTGCCTATTCATGACAAAGCGCGACCGCTAGCCAATGTCTTCAGTTAGTATTTGTCCTCACACCCAACCTGCTGCACCCTACTGGTCACAACTTCCCAGTCGGTAGTGAGCATGCCATTGATTTTCAAGTATGATTTTTTTTTACAGATGGCATTAATGACTGTTTTATTCATTTACCTCTAGAACAAGGATTCTTCCTATATCATTCGATTAACTAATCTCTTAGAAGATACACGACAGTTTATTCATAATACTGTAAAAGATACTGAACATGGTCATAATTGTGGACTGATCGTTTCTACTGCTATAAATAATTCCAGTGAACTGAAAAAGATAAATTTAGCCTCGCCTACACATGAATTATTTCCAGCGCACGCTTTAGCTCGAACATATTTACTTCATGAAGAAAGTAAGTCCTTGATATGTCACCTGTTACCGTTGTTTTGATGAGATTAATAATTGAGTTATTGTTGTCTTGTGCTGTTACACATTTCATATCTAAAAGAATAAATGGTAACGTCTTTTACAGTGAGAAACATATTACTTCCGGAAAAATTGTGTGTCATTTAAATATTTATTTCGTTTAGCTTGATGTGGTCTTCCTCATTTTAAGCCTGACTTACCTCCTAATCTGTTAATATAGAAGACTCAGAATTCTACCTTTGGTGCGGTTCACCAACAAGTGAACGGGGGAATCCAGCAGCCACTTATACTGGTAATACTAATATTATTATTCACTTGACTTCCGAATGAAGAATAGTTCTTCAGCGATATGTCGCCACCACTTCGCTCTGTTCTCTGTAGCCTTTCCTACCTGGCTTCACGACTGCTCATAAGATCCTCCCCCATCCTCTTCCATGTCACCTTCGAACTCAGGCACAACTCGTTGCTTCCGATTCCAGTTCCACTTTTGAGAGCTTGCTTGCAGTGTGATGCCATTCAACAGCCTCTTCAGCGTATGAACAGTGCATATCAATTGCCTTCTACAGATTTGTTGATCGCGATAGGTCTTTGGTTGGTTCGTTGCCTGACTGAGTTCTATGTTGGTTCAGGATAGAATGAATGCAGCCCGTTGCTAATGCTTTTAATGACACACCAAGTCTCTGAAGCATCTAGGAGAAGCACCGGCATGGCATTAATGTTTAAAACTCGTCTCCTATTCCTCATGTTCAATGCAGTAGATTTTCATACTGGTTTCCACAGTAATAAACGTCTGTCTTGCTTTTTCTATTCGCGTTTTGACATCCTCTTGTATGCGCCTTGTAGTTGAAACAATGCTACTTAGACGAGAAAATGAAATAAGTGACTTCCCCGATATTTATTTCCTTGATCGTCTTGACTTACACACAACAGTTTTTGCTTAACACTGATTTGGTCACTATGAGTTTCTTTCAGCTGCATCCAGTTGAAAGATACCTGCCTGTCCCTTCATCTTCAACAGTTAGTTTTGCTATACCATTCTCTGTAATATTTTGTTATTGTTATTTGAATTGAGATGAGAAAATTTCAATGAGCGAACAGGTTGTGTGGGGCTACCCAGGTTTCGTGCGGTAGCACTTCAAATACAAACCAGTTACATTAGATAATATTCAAGTATTGGTTTGTAGGGATTTGATCGATCGGTTACAGGATTTCATCATGAGCTGACATTGGTTAGAGAAACATTCGAAAACCTGTAGGGAGTACTTGACAGCTGTTCCGTCTAGCTAGTTTGGGACTCTTCAGCAATGAATTCTAACTGCTGCCAATTCACAACATAGCGCAACCGTTAGCCAATGTCTTCGGTGAGTATTTGTCCTCACACCTGACCTACTGTACCCTACTGGTCACGACTTCGCACTAGAACCCCAGGTATCTACTTACCTGAATAGGGCCAATTGCTAGGTAGGTAGTTACCAGGGGTTCTAGTGGGAAGTCGTAACCAGTAGGAGGGTGCAGTAGGTAGGATGTAAGGACAAATACTCACCGAAGACATTGGCTAGCGGTTGCGCTATGTCATGAATTGGCAGAAGTTAGAATTCACGCGTTGGCCATCGCATTGGGTCCCAGTGGCTTAAAGGTCTACGAGCTAGCTCGCCTTGTTAACCAGAAGGTCCTGGGCTCAACCCTCCCCCCAGTTTGGGTATATGCTGCTGAAGAGTCCTAAACTAGGTGGACGAAACAGCTGACCAGTACTTCCAGGTTTTCCAATGGTTCTCTAAGCGATGTCAGCTCATGATGAAATCCTACATCAGATCAGTTTGTCAGATAACACTAACAGAGTTTTTGAATTAGTTCAATCAAAATGTTAGAAGTTCTTTGGATGTTGTTGTTCGAAATCTCAAACAGGCAAGTTCAAACATAACCTGCATACAGATTGTGATTAGTATTCACTTCTTTTTTTTTACTGAATTCTCGTTCTACTCTCTGTACATTTTTAGACGAGGATAACTGTTTCCAACTTTATTCGATTGAGGATAACTGGCGGTTGAATATTAAGAAAAAGTATGATGAAGTATTTTGGATAGCGGATGATTAATTACTTGTGGATGGAGAAAAGCTAAGGAAGGTATATGGGAATTAATTTTTTCTGCTGACAAGTCTAATGTACAGATTGGCTCTATATATGTGCATGCATTAAACAGTGTTTTGTATTCAGTTTTCAGTGTATGTGTACGCCTATCAAATCACATTCCCACTTGTTAGATATTTGATTATCTGAAATATAATTTCTTACAAATCTTATTCTTATTCGTGATTAAAAGTTATAACTCCTCAAACTTTTGAGCTGTGGAGTTGATTACCAGTGCAGAATATTAGAAAAATGAATGCATCATAACTCAGTTATTCCAGTTGATCATTGTTCTTCTTCTTCTTCTTCCTTTGCGTTCCGAGTGGAAACTAGAGACGGCTTCAACAACACATCTCCACTTTCTTCAGTTTTCTGCTGTCTCATTGGGATTCCACTCGAGCGATGCCTTTCGACGGTCTCCACAATGTATACCCGATGCATCCATCTCTATTTTCTCCTACATATATGTCTGAGCGATCGGCTTCTGGTTGGTTTTTTCCCAAGGGACGTGTGTACTGCTCAGTTGTTCGCTCCGTCCTTGTCTGTGGCTCTGAAACATGGTCAATACGAGTTGAAGACATGAAAAGGTTGACTGTTTTCGATCATAGATGTCTGCGATCTCTTTCTCACGTTAGGTGGTTTAATAAGGTAAGTAATGTTGACGTTAGACGTAGTGTTGGGCAAAGAAGAAAAATCATTCGACGAAGCCATAAAGTTATGTAGATTGAGATGGCTTGGTCACGTGCTGCGCATGACTAACCATCGCCTCCCGCGACGGGCATTACTAGCTGATATAGGTGCAGGTTGGAAAAGAGCCAGTGGTGGCCAAACAAAAACATGGCATCAATCCATGAAGTCCTTGACAGTTAAACTGAGTCAGGTAGGGAGATGCAGACTTCCGGGTTGGAGCCCTCGGGACTGACTCTAAGAATCAATGGCTGGAGACAATAGGTGATATGGCTCAAAATCGTTGTCAATGGCCAGCGCAGATGTATTCAGTCTCTGTAATCTTTCATATTCCTTTCTACCATTACCCATTCTGTCTCACTCTTATACTTGATAAACTCTATTGATTCTCTTCACTCATGTTCTTGTCTACCTCTGTGTGCTATTTGGAAGGTGGCAACTCGAACTGGTGCACTTCGGTGTCAAGTTCTATGTTGAATCCAAATAGACAGGTTTTTTTCCAATAATTTCTGGTCTCTGATTCTTTATGACCATTTGAGCTTCAGTATGCAACCAGCAAAGGCAGTTTACGAGTAGTAAATTATTACCCACCCACCATTTGATAAATTCTGTTTGAAAAAGAGAAGACGTTCAGCGAAGAGATTCTTTTCGGCGAATTCATTCACATAGCTGTGCAATCGCACTTATATATAATTATTTGTGTGTATGTGTGTACATGAGGTTTGTCAAGTTTAGATAATTGATCAGGTAATACAAGAATGATCTAATATAGAAACAAGGTTAATCAGATAGCGACTAAAGATTGAGTTAGTAAGTTAGATGACATAATATAATTCACTAGAATGTTTCAACTTAGATCAGGGTAGCAACAGAGGAAATTAGAGACTAAGTAGAAGTGGGGTAGATAATAATGCCATTTAGATTAGAACTGAAATTGAGCAAATAAGTTGGATGACGTAACATAAATGACTAGAAATTGAGCGTTGGTCAAGTCAGTAACTGTGGTGATGAGGTGTAGAAATTAAATCGGGTGGGGGTAGAGAACAAGAAGGTTGGAAATGTAAAATATTACAACTGAAAAGACAAAATAATACTAATGAAGAGACAGAAGAGAAAAGGATTAGATAGAATTTACTTGTCGGATAGTAAGTTAGATTATGCCCATTGCAAGTGTAGTGATTGAACGAACTTCTTCTGTATGCAGAGTTCAGGGCTTAGCAAGTGAATCGCCATTGCTTCTGCAGTTTGAAGAAGTCTGATTCGTACACTTTTAGGAAGACTACTTCTTACTCTGTAGACGACTTTGAAGTTTGTTTGGGGGCTGTAGCTTGCTGTCCAGATTCTATCAGATGTTCTAAGATGGGAATTGAAAAATCGGTTTGTTCTATAAGACAAGTTGCAAAATGAATTTCTTTTCTTTTGAACAACAGAATGTGGGCACATTAACGCGGTCGACTGTTTTATCTTAACTTTTACAACTGTAATGACAGTGATTTAGTCCAACAGAATTGCTGTCTTCGCCCACTTTGCATTTTCTACATGGAAACTGAAATCACCTACAAACTAAAGCTGTATTAGACTTTTATCTCCACTTAATTTATAAGTGGATTTAAAGGTGGTTTTTCAATTTATCGCATTTCTTAAATTCGCAATCATTTTTAGCTCTCCTTTGAATGTATATATATATATATATATATATATATATATATATATATATATACGAAGGCCATGTCTGTGTACATTTTATGTGCAGTAAAACACAACTGATGGTTAAGAGGAGTAAAAGTATTTTCAGTCATTGTAGTACAAGTGAGTCAGTCCTTGAAACGATAGGAATCCATTGTATATTATACTAACGACTACTGTTTAAGTAATTAAATTGTTTGCAGGCAAATTTATGCCAACAAAGTTAAAAGTGTTATTGTGCTGAGTGTGAAAATGTAAATAAAATAAGGGGGTGGGGAAGTGGTGGATGTGCATGTCGTATTCTGGGCAGAAAGATCAAACGTTGCATACAAAAATGTATCATCAGTTCCAGCTACGAAACCTGTAGACAGTGCAATCGGAAGAATACAACAAAGTTATAATAGGAGTTAAAATTCATGCGCCATTGAATCGGATCTCAGTGGCTGAGTGAGATACGAGCTTGCTTTGTAACTGGAAGAGCCTGGGTTCGAACCTCAGTGAGTGCTTACTGATGATGATTCCCAAAAACTAGGATAAAACAGCTGTTCAGTACTTCCTAGCGGTGTTCAATGATTTGCTAACTGATATCAGTCTGTGGGCAAACTTGAAAAACGTTATAATTAACAAAAAGAAAGTATGAAACTAGGGAAGATTATGAAATAAAAGACTTTACAGATCTTGAGAATTTCGAAGATAGTGAGAAGTAGTTATACACCTGTATCACTGTTATCAGTGTAACCTCCACCTGTGCGTACTGTGGTCTATGATGAACAAGCTGTAAGTGACTTTGGCGAAAACTTGTTAAACTATAGTCATGAGATGCTATAAGATGAGAAAGGTATACAGTATGCTATTGTTCAATGGCTACTTTAGGCCCTAATATATAAATAGCTAGTGTCTCTAAGATTTGGAGAGGCATCTTCAGGGATTCGCTCAGTGGGTGGTTTGCGTAGATTTCTCTGCTAAGTGATATCTGTTGAAAAAAGCATTGGTTTTTTCACATGTTATGCTTTGCCAACAATGCACACCGATAGCCTCTTGGTTTAAAGTGATTGGAAGCGGTTGGTTGGTGACGACTCTGAATGCTTCAGAATAGTGCAGATATATTCATTAATACAAGTGTAGAATTTGGCCATTGTGGTAGGTAGAATGTAATTCCATATTATCATACAATGATTCCCTTTTATAAATTTGAACAAAGAAAGAAGAAATATTGGCGCGCAGAATAATCTGGCTCCATTTTATTTCGTCGGTTCTCATCAGCTGCGTACAAACTGAATTCTTTAATAAAATAAAAAAGTGTACAATTTTAACAAATTTTTGTCCATTAGCAAGCATATCGTCAGAACGTCATAGTGAAATAAGGCGTTGCGGCTTACAAGGTGTCTTAAGTGTTACAACACACATATATATCTTGTTAGAGAGAAGTTTCTTGAAAAAAAATTAATTCACAGTTGTGTTGTTGGGGTGGTAAGATAAGAAAATTTGTAATAGTTACGTCATTAGATAAGAGAAGATCAAAATTTCGGTGCACGTGAGAAGTTGATGATGTAATACAGTGAACAGAACTCAGAAGATCAAGAAAAATTATCTCTTAAGAGGGTCAAGCGAAAACTCAAGGGTGGGGGGAGTGAAAAGATAAGTCAACAAAATTAGAAAACAAAGAGTTACTAAGAAGTGAGTCACCAGGGTAGTTGAAGTCCAATAACGGATTCCCTTCGGACACATAAGTCAGGCTTCAATCGTTTTATCGCTGTAGCTTAAGCAAACCTGAGAACACTTGAGGTACTTTGTCTGTTAATTATTTTGAATGATTCCAGCACATTTACTCGGTGTCCTGTGTCAGTCAGGTGTTTGGCGATTGAAGAGCTTAAACAATTCGGTCCCTTTGACCAGAGGCTCCTTAGTACATGTGTGAGTGACTTGATATCATTATGAGCAGTAGTTTGTGCTCGAAACGTTATGAGTTAATATTACTGTATAATACTGTGTGATTTATCAAAATAAAATCTTATCTATAATGGAGTTATACTCTACCACAGTGCCCAAGTTTTGTACATATATCAATAATTAGATAAGTTTATTTTAATAATCGCACAGTGATATTTTTTCCTTCACGTTCCCAGTGGAACATAGGGCCTCAACCTAGTGGCTTGAAGTTTCTGTAGCAGTGTTTTAGTTTTACAGGATGGAGTTGCTAGCCTCATGCCCAACCTTTCCTCTTTACCAGCATTTTTTCTGGCTTAGCGAGGTAAAGGAGTGTGTCGGCCGGGGATTGAACCCGGGACCATGTGAATGGTCGGCGAGCGTCTTAACCGCTATGCACACCGACGTGCATCATCGCACACTGATGATGCAGTATTATTAACAACTGGATGACAAGGTTTCGAGCATAAATTATTACTGATCATAATCATATCAATGTTAGTCACACGTTACACAATTTGTCTTCTGTATATTTTCCCTCTATATCTGTCTCTCCAACACTGCTTTGTTGTTTGTTGTCACTTTCAATATCTCCGGTATAGGCGGTGTTGCGTCATTCCGATTGCATGTGTGCGGTGTTGAATCGATAAACAAAGCTTCAGTAATTA